GAATCCCCCGTCACACCAAACATGCTCGCCCTTTTAGCCGTGGGGGCGTTATAATGTGACGGTCAATCCCAGTATTCGTTGGTAAAAGAGTAGCCCGATAGTTGGCGGTGGGTAGTGATGACTAGCTGCCTTCCCTCTAGTCTTACACTGCTAAATTAGGGACGGCTAGCGCGTGTAGCTTTGCACGAAATTCAAAACAAACAAACTTTTTGTTAAAGATTTTTCCAGAGTGAGTTATGGAGTATAAATGTTTATGCTGTGTCAAGAAACCCTTGGAAATTAGGTTATGATATTAATAATATATCTACAAGTGTGACTGATGTGCAAAACTTTATTATAGCATTTCTTATATTGAGATTTGTTATATATGAAAAGTTAAGTTCGAATAATTATAAAGCCGCAACTTATTGGCTGAAGCTACCTCCATCTGGATTTCATAGTATCTTTTGGAAAGCACGTTGACCAACTTACATAAAGATGTTGTTGAGTGAAAAATACATTTCGCTTAATAATAAACAATAGTAATTTTTGTAAGCAAAACTGTCATAGAAACATTTGTGTTTACTAACACAAAGCATTCACTTACAAGATTTATTAATGTATTTCTGACCATTAACAAATATTTAGTTGAAGGTTTTTGGCCCATGAAATATCCACTATTAGTATGGTGTTTTGTAGTCAGGATACCCAAATTAATTTAGGTATTAGGTAAAATTTAACATAATGTAAACCAAAGCCTGATGTGTTTCCTTATGATACTTTCTATATCAGTTTTGACGTGTTAGTAATTACTGGAATAACCTGGCATCCAAATGATTCCGTCTCACACTGATTGGCTGCCTTAAGTGATGGGGTGAGGCTAGATAATGATGTCATTGTTCCATGCACCAAAAACGATTACGTCATAGCTCCATGAAGTGGCACCTGAAGGCGCTAATGTCTTAGAGAAGGGATGACATCATGGTTCCACCAAGAGACATCAAAAGGGGGCGTTGATTGGGTCATAGTTCTACGAAGTGGCACTAGAGAGTCATAAGTTGTCTGCTGCCAAAAAGCGCATTGCTAATAGAAGTCACGTGACATCGTAAATCAAGCATTACTCAATAAAGTGCACGTAGCTAGGAGTAATAGTTCTAGGAAGTTTTACCACAAGGTGTGGCTGTCCTAGGAGAGAGTGACATCACAGTTCGATTAGCAGAGGGCCCGTTCCTTGAGGTGAATGCTGTTACCAAGGTTCTATAGATGGACAGTGTTACTAAGGTAGTGTTTGTTACCAGGCATATTGTGTGGGTTTTACAAATATGAATGGTATTTCTGTAGGATAGCCTACAGATTTCAGTTTGTCTCAATTTACAGTTTTCTTTTATTTATCTAATTATATACATTTTACAAAGGCGGGTGGTATTACCAGGTATATTGTGTTACTAAGGTGCTATAAACTGATTGGAAATTGTGTTATTAAGGCAGATGGTGTTTTTATAAGCCGATAGTTCAGTATGATGATGAGCTCGTTGTAGGGTGTCTCATTATGTGATTATGTCATCAACACTGCAGTCTAGATTTAATTATATGTCATAGAATGTTACAGGTAAAATCATTATTATAACAAGACAACTACTATAGCATAGTGTATTACATAAAACAGTTACATATAATGTATGTTTCACTAGTTCTAATGCTTGGCTTAAAACATATTTTTATGCTAACCGTTTATATATGTAGCTCTGTTTTCATCTTATCTCAATTTTTACAAATGATTAATAAACTCGGTAATAAATCATTTTGCTACAACTAATCATAACAAATGAATGACTTAATATTTAACCGATCCTTTTACTATTGTAGAAACTATATAAAATATAATGACTTTACTATACAATTACAATTCATAAAACTTTGTGGTTTTAGACTACAGATTATATACGAACTTTATGTATCCCCAAATCAAAGCATATACAAAGAGTAGCTTGCACAGATTTCTAACTCACGCTAATACTGTCTTAGAGGTCCAACTCGAACGATGTTGATTGTTAGGAAATATAACGTGTAGGAGAAGTCGTCACGTAGCTATAATAAACTGATAAGAGTTGAGTCTCGTACATTGTCTTACAAACTAGAAATAATATATTCTACTCAAAATGTGTTTGTTTCTGTGTTACAAACATTTTTTTAATTCAGGACCTTTCAGTGCTATTGTCCTTTTATTCTACCAGTTTTTAGAGGGGATGAGTTATTTCTCCACGTGATGACTTTTCTTACACTTTGTCTTTCCTAACAATTAAATTTTTTCAACGCCATTTTATGTTTTAAAAAGAATGAATATTGGATGAAATACAACTAAGATTTTTACAAAGTTTAAATGATTCAAAACATTAAGATTCTAGCTATTCTTAGCTTTGACAGGAATAATACGGCTTTTATAAATACTTTCTTTTCAATAACTTTAGTGATTTTTTATTATACATTAAACAAACTTAAGAGTGAGAAAAAAAAGGAAGTTCAGTTACCTACCACATCAAATGTTCAGACGAAACTAATAACGTTACCACATCAAATGTTCAGACGAAACTAATAACGTTACCACATCAAATGTTCAGAAGAAACTTTTAACGTTACCACATCAAATGTTCAGACGAAACTAATAACGTTACCACATCAAATGTTCAGATGAAACTAATAACGTTACCACATCAAATGTTCAGACGAAACTAATAACGTTACCACATCAAATGTTCAGATGAAACTAATAATTTTACCACATCAAATGCTCAGACGAAATTAATAACGTTCGGTCAGCGTTCATGCTTGGTCTAGTTTTTCAAACTATTAATTTTAGCTTAGACTGAAATCAAACTGGAAAAAGTTGAAAATCTGTTAATGTGATGTTAACTGAATCCGGGCTTAGTTATCAGGTTTTCGTGGTTAATTGTTCACTTTTAGTTAAGAACTAAATTCTATAGTTCTTTAATCATTGTTACAAAAATATTCTTTTCATCTCAAAATAATTTAAGGGAAAAAAGCGCGAAATCTTGTTTTTGAATATCCTCAAAACACAGCATGATGACCTATCTATTACATGTTATATAGTTATAATGAAACGTTACGAATAGTACTTTTTAGAAAATCATAATTCATGATTAACTCCATTGTTAGTTAATTCTCTACAGAAACTTTCCATAATTCATTAAAAATATAATGTTGGTTATTTCGGGGAAACGTTTGTTGCTAATTAAGCACAAAGCTACACAATGGGCTATCTGTGCTCTGCCCACCACGGGTATCGAAACCCGGTTTCTAGCGTTGTAAGTCCGCAGACATACCGCTGTACCACTGGGGGCTCGGAAAAACGTTTAGGTTACTAAATATTCAGATATATCAATCACTTGAGATGATCGTAAAAATGATTTCTTTTTTGTTAAGGTATTCTTTTTGTTGATATGTATGATCATATATTTAATATCACAGTAATATATTAATGACTTTTTTTCAGATCTTTTTCTATAGCTCACCTTTGTAAGTTTACAAAACAATTACTATCTTATAAATGTTCGTAAAGTATATGTGCAACATTTAGATTACAATGATTTGATGCAAACTTTTGCATTCAGTCGTCTTCCTTTAGAAATGAGAGTCGGAAAAAATTATCACAGAAATAAAGTTTAGGCGTAGAAATTTATATTTAAAAGTGACAACTATTTCTACTAAAGGATTTCTATCCTGAAATGCGGACAGACGTTAACCATGATAGCTCATGTAAGCATGAGGTTAGGAGAATTATCTTGTAAACATATATAGCAGGATTCAAAATTTCTTTGATATAAAAACTAAACTGTGAAAAAGTTAAAATATTTTTTTACCAGCACATAATAAAATTTCTCCTCTACTACAAAAATATTTTTCTAATATAAACTTATACCAGAAAGCAGTGAAAATGAAACTGTTTCTTATACATATAAACATAAAATTGTACCAGAAAGCTATGAAAATAATACAATATTTACATAGGTTCGTAACAAGTTTCAATGAAATTCAAACGTTTTCGAATTTTGGTTATGATTAGCTATCATTTAATCCTCTTCATTGTTAACTAATCTAAAATATTTTATTTCATCTCAGTGTACTAAAATTATCAATCTTACCCAGTATTTTAAATGACTGAAAAATTGCATCCTGGAATGCAAGTAATTCAACTTTCATGTAGTCAGTGAAATTATCTGATTGGAAATCACTCATTATCTCTCTTTGTCCTTCTAGTTCTTCAGCTTGTTGATCTGAGCCATCATGAAATCTACGGACATTTGTTCAAAATTAGAAATTATTCAGTTTATTTTGACCACTCTAATACCCTCAATATGCCCCCAGAATAACAGAATAACACTTTATGAAATGTAACAGAAATACATATAAAAATGAATAGGGAAATTTGTATCATATAAATTATAGATATTTTCTAAATCTTGTTGACAAAGGTTACAGTTATTTAGTGAAGTAAACATACACATAGACAATAAACATTGTAAAATATTTCTAACTTGTATGTTCGTTTCTCCTATATACAGAGTATGATGGATGATTCTATTGTGCATGCTGTTTCCACCTGTTGGTTTGTTTCCCCAATATACAGAATGTAGTTACAGTTTTATATCGTACAAACTATATTTTTACTTTTATGCTTTGGCTTCTTCACTCAACAAACAGTCTTTGCCCTGTCTACAGACTGTAATTAGAAAGTTTCTATTGTGCTTTCTGTATTTTACATTTATGTTTGCTCCATATACACAGTATGCAACTAAATTTTTCTGACTTTGAATGCTGTTTCTTACTTGTTTCCCTATATACAGAGTGTATTTGAACATTTCTATCATACGTACTGTATGCTTATTCTCATTACATATAGAGTATAACTGGAAGTTTTAATGTGCATCTTTCTTTTCCTATATATTGAGTGCAGTTGGAAGTTTCTGTCATGATCGATATTTCTCACCCTTATACTTTGTTTCTATATTTACAGTGTAGGTTTAGAAGTTTCTATTGTATATGATACTTTCTACTTATGAAGAATATGTGTGTAGTAGAACAGTCACTTATGAAGAAATCGAGATGGTGATTGTTGATTATTGATGCTATTTTTCCTGTGTATCATGAAGCATAAATCTCAAAACTTTAGTGTACTGTTAATGAATAATAACAGTTAGTACAAGGATTAAAACGATTACACAAGTAGTTATATGTGTCATTATTAAGAATTACATGTAACTATTATTAGACATTAATGTCGAGGTACATTTATAAAAGTTGAATGCTGAAAAGTTTTCTATTAGAAACATTTTCTTCTGAAAGGGGGAAGGAATGAAGCAAGCGTCTATAGAGACAATATTTTGTGAAGATATTATTCACAATTAACTTAATTCACAAGAGAGTTGGATGGAAAGTACCACCTTATAATATCGTTAAGGAGAGAAGGAAATGAAGACTCATAACGAACATCTTCAGCAGAAAAGCCTTAGAGGAAGAGAGTCCCCTTTGATCTAATGTTTTACATTAACTTTATTCCATTATAGGGGGACCGGATCAGACAAGTGTTTTCTTCTTGATTTTTCCAATAATAAGACTTGAGCCCTAGTCCAATGAGTTATTGGATACTTGGTACCATTCCTGCTCGTGCTCTTAATTTATTGGCCACAACTGCCTCTAGAATTTAGAGAATTTATATTCCTTGTAACCCTACTTTCCAGTTTTCATCATTTCTTTTTGTCTCTATCCAAGAAGAGGCCTTCTCTGCCACACCTGTTAATTTTGAAAGGCTTTGATCTCCTCAGACTTGAGAGTCTGAGTTGTTTTAGTAAGCTGTAGACAAATGCACTGGGTAACCCCCTTGCTCCCACTTCCACAGAGAACAGTCCTGTGCCAAAGCCCTGGCTTTGGATTTCCTTCACGCCAGCTTGTACTAATGACTTTCACTCATTCTTGACTCATATGACACTGCAAGCTAGATTACTACTATTGTCATGCAGATGTCAAAGCAAAGGATCAGCTCAGGTCTTTGTCTAGTTCTAGCAACTACTTCTGGATATTTTCTTATATATCCAAACTTAGGCACTATTTCTCAATAATTTGCAATGTTATGTGTTCCACTTATTGACAATGTCTGGGGATTCATAAAAGCACTCTGTCTGTTGCTTTCTCTAAGAAAGTAAACTAGTTGTTTTGTAGCTGCCTTCCTTCTGTTGGTTCCGTACCATACAATGTCCATTGCTACTAGTTTTTTGAGCACTTGGTTATGTCTCCATGCCCATCTGCCTCTTTTCAAAGCTTTTATGCAGGCTGTTAACACATGATCAATCATTTGTATGTCTCTGAAAGCTACATTTTGGGTCATTCGACTGCTTTCATTTCACCAGGTTAGCACCTGTTGGCAACTGGCCGTAGATGGACCAAATAATAAAGCTTAGTCAGAGAGGTATCAAGTGCTATATGTCATTCCATGATAGGGTCTTTCCAAGTCATTTTCTCACGTGCTTCATTGACCTTGTTGTTCTTGCTGGACTGCTGTCTGAGCTCACTTAGCATCTTCTTCTAGCCTGATCACCATGTCTCGTTTCTTTGGAAGCCTTTGACCATAAAGTCTGCTTTTCGTTTCCAAATACTCTCTGGATGGAACCTATCACTTTTCTCAACTTCAGACCCTCTTTTATCTAGTTATCCACCTCTGTTTTCACACAAGAGTTATCTGAGTTGTTGAGCATCATCAGAAGTCTGGTCTTGCCAGTTATGTACTCTTCTACTAGTGAATTCAATGGAAGTCTGAGCTTTTATTCTCTGCAGTGTAAAGTGATTGTGTGATAAGACCTAGAAGCCAGACTAGTCACTTTCTAGTGAAGTGGTCAATCTTCATTTCCATGTTCTCAACTGGACTGAGGCTACTCTCCTAATTAAGAAATGGTCAGAGGAGTTTGGGAATTAACATGTACTACAGATTACAAATCTTGTATTTTCCCTGCAGTTTTGTCCTGTTGATTATCGTCAAACCTTCTTTTATAATATCTAGGGATAACATTTAAGGACCGTCAAAGATGTAGTTTTAAGCTAGTTATTCTGAGATGGAAAAAGACAGGAAAAGGACATCATTGGTATACAAGATAACAAGGCCAAGCTTCTAGTTGGGAATTATTCTGACCAGCGATATGGTCTTTCTTATCGAAAGAAACATACATTAAGTACTTTATCAAGCTGATAGTGTGCATATAAAAATGAAACATTCAATCGAGATGTATTGAAGAAACTGTATCACGCATCCTGAAAGAAGCTCATTACTAAGAAAATAATGAAATATTTAAAAGTAAATCACATTTCCCAAGGAAGGATATTGGTGCCAGCAAAGTGAAGGATTAAACTGGCCTGGATGAACCCAGAACCTTTAACTACCCGGAGATGAGTAGGTAATCCCTTGAAGTTAAATGACTCTGAGCAATTTTGTTGTAACTAAGAGCCATATGCATTAGTTCTGGTTCAAGAATCTTCGAAAACTATCCTGTTTCGAGTCCTGCTGGACTAAAAATTCAGTAAATAGTTATTTATCAACAATTTACAGAAAGTCTGCTCGAATCCTCGGAAAATCTTTCCAACCATCAACTAATCATGGAGAGTTTCCAGTAGTAAACTTCCATGTAAGTGCTTTTTCACATATTATCTAGCAGCATAACGACTTAAGGTAGGCTGAAATACGTGTTGCTCTTGTGTACAAAGTGTACTTCAAAGGTTATATAGTGCATTCTGTTTATTACATTTAGACGTATTCCCCCTACGTAAAGAAAATAGTACAGAGTGTATCTAGAAGTGTTTATGTATTTATATATGTATTTCGAATGCTGTTTCTCTCCTCTGTATGCAAAGAATAATTAGATTTTTTTTTTCATTACGCATGCTGTGTCTTATTTGTTTACTTGTCTCTCCTGTAATTTGTAATTTTCATTTTTATGCATTTTCCCTCCATATTGATCATATAGATGTAAGTTTCTATCCTGAATGTTCTATGCTGGTTCCCATATACACAATATGTAGATGTAAGTTTCTATCGTGAATGTTCTATGCTGGTTCCCATATATACAATATATAGATGTAAGTTTTTATCGTGAATGTTTTATGCTGGTTCTCATATATACAATATATAAATGTAAGTTTTTATCGTGAATGTTCTATGCTGGTCCTCATATATACAACATGTAGATGTAACTTTCTATCGTGAATGTTCAAAGCTGGTTCTCATATATACAATATATAGATGTAAGTTTCTATCGTGAATGTTCTATGCTGGTTCTCATATATATACAATATATAGATGTAAGTTTTTATCGTGAATGTTCTATGCTGGTTCTCATGTATACAACATGTAGATGTAACTTTCTATCGTGAATGTTCTATGCTGGTTCTCATATATACAATATGTAGATGTAAGTTTCTATCGTGAATATTCTATGCTGGTGCTCATATATACAATATGTAGATGTAAGTTTTTATTGCGCATGCTTTTTTTTTTACTAACATTCTATCTTCCCGGTGTGACAGCGGTAAGTCTATGGATATATTAGAATGCTAAAATCAGGGGCTCAATTCTCCTCGGTGGACACAGCAGATAGCCCGATGTGGCTTTACTATGAAAAGCACACACACACACTAATATTCTTGATTCCCCTACCCCCATATACAGAACATAACAAAGTTTCTATATGGCATGCTCTTTATTACTTGTATATTTGTAGGCATGCTCTTTATTACTTGTATATTTGTAGGCATGCTCTTTATTACTTGTATATTTGTAAGCATGCTCTTTATTACTTGTATATTTGTAGGCATGCTCTTTATTACTTGTATATTTGTAAGCCCTGTAAACAGACTGTTTATGGAAGTTTCCATCTTCCTTGTACCTTCTCATTTGTGACTTGATCAACATATGAGAAAAATATAGTTCTATTGTTCATCATGCTTCCCAGTTCTATGCTTATTCTTTATGCGTGCAGAGTACAGCTAGAAAATACTATTTGTCATGCTGTTTCTAGTCTGTAGACTTGCTCCTCTCCATACAAAATGCCCCTGGAAGTTTCTTTCATGCGCACTGTATGCTTGTTTCTCACCATTATAATGTAGTTGGAATTTAATATCGTAAATACCATTTCTTTCGTGATATTTGTTTCTCTTGATTACAGAGTGCAGTTCGAAGTTTCTATTATGCACGCTGTTTCTTACTTGAGTGCTTGTTTCTTCTATATACAGGGTACTAAGCATACACGGAAAAAACAGCATTCACGAAAACACTTTCAACTCTCCTCTTATATGTAGAGTATTGTTGGAAGCTTGTATTGCAACACGCTGTTTCTTGCTTGAGTGCTTGTTTCTCCTATATACAGGGTATAGTTGAAAGTTATTTGTATGCTTATTCACTATATTTAAAGGATATAATTTGAAGTTTATATTGTATATACTGTTCTTTACTTGTATGCCTGTTTCTGACTCGTATGTTTTCCCCTATATACAGAATATAAGAAGAAATTCCTATCGAGGATATTGTATTCTTGATACCCCATATACAGTGAAGCTCGAAGTTTATATCATAATTCCTGTTCTTTATGCGTATGCTTCTTACACCTCTAAAGAGAAGATTTTAGTAGTAGTAGGAAGATTCTATCGTGCATACAGTTTCTTACTTGTATACTTGCTCCCAATTTACATAGAGTATTGTTGGAGGTTTCTATGGTGAATGCTATTGATTACATACAGTTTCTTACTTGTATGCTTGCTCCCAATTTACATAGAGTATTGTTGGAGGTTTCTATGGTGAATGCTATTAATTACATACAGTTTCTTACTTGTATGCTTGCTCCCAATTTACATAGAGTATTGTTGAAGGTTTCTATGGTGAATGCTATTGATTACATACAGTTTCTTACTTGTATACTTGCTCCCAATTTACATAGAGTATAGTTGGAGGTTTCTATGGTGAATGCTATTGATTACTTACATGCTTATTCCTCTTACGTTAGCGATGTTTCGCGAAAAATCATAATGTATTAACTTTGTAAATCTCGAGCTTAATAGTTTTTGTTCTTATTTATACGTTCATAGCAAGGCGTTGATTATTTATAGCGCAAAGCCACATACTGGACTATATGTGCTCTGTCCACCACGGGTCCCCCGGTGAGACACCGGTAAGTCTATGGACTTGCGAAGCTAAAATCAGGGGTTTGATGCCCCTCGGTGAACACAGCAAACAGCCCGATGTGGTTTTGCTATGAAAACAACAACAACAAAAAATACACTGTCCACAGCGGGGAATCTACTAAGAATTTCAGGATTGTAAATCCGTGAATTTACGCTGACACACTTGGAACCTAGAGTGAGTAGGTGATATGTAATATACATGAAAAACTCGAGTTTACGAATTTTAACTTGTAATTCATCAGCTAGATGTGCGAACACTTATAATCTAGCATAAATGAATAACTCAAATTTTCTCAATCGTTTTTAAATTAATAAAAAATAAAAAACATATGGATAACGAACATTAGTTTTTCATTAGTTTCAGTAGTTGCTATTTTATAACAATGAAAGCTAAATAACTCATAATCGATACTTGATATGACAGCTAGGTTAACATACCTTTTAAGATTAATTGCAATATAACTATTTTGTTTATTTCGCTATGAAGAAAAATCACGCAAGTTTTGTTCTATATACATATGTGGGAAATATTATTTTCGTCAACCACATACCAATGAAAAACATTCATCTGAAATTTAATCATACATATTGATAAAATAAGATATTGATATTTATGTAAATACAATGTCAAGCATACCTAGTTAATTTTCAGAGAGTTTTGTCTCCTAATATATTATTTTGCAATTTTTAAGCAAATCAAACTTTCGTCAACACCTATGCTTAACTAACTAGTTGTTTTTGATTTAATTCAAATGCACATAGCAATCTAATTTACACGCCATTAAAAAGAATGAGATAAATCATATTCTTGTAATACATCTTAATTTCTTTCTTAATCATATAAGATATTATGGTTTTACAAACTGGAAATTAGAATGACAATATTCAAGATGAACGCATGGGAGCTAAGAGGCCTAGTTCGGCTCTTTGAACCAAAAAAAAAAAAACGGAATTGTTTATTACTTTTCTGATTCTACTGCATTTGAAAGTTCGAAACGTGGTCAGCATCACGTTTCGGTCTCAAAAACGTTCCATCTACAACCCTGCTCAGATTTACAAACTAGTGAACTTTGATTAATATATAAAATCTAAAGAAATCTAATACTTAAACATTGCTGTAGTTTTTATTAAGATAGGAAAAACTCACATATTTTGATACTGTTCTATTATTTTTATATAACAATCCTCAATCTCTTTGATCACTGTATTTAGTAGCTGCATAGAATCCTGTTCAATCAAAACTTCCTTTAAATTCTCGACCACAGACCAGGCTCTAAGGCAATAACCTAAAAGAAGAAAATAAAAATTAGTGTTATTGTTATCTGCTATTTTATGTACTTGTTATTATTTACAACATTATTCCCATTTTGCACTTCTTCACCGATATTTCACAAGGGTTAACCTGAGGGTGACCTAAGGAGGTTGAAACGTTGTTACTTCTTTTGTGTTTTTAAATACAAATTTAAAATCACATATCAGCCGTCTCTACTATATATATGTAATTTAAGGAGTGTACATTGTATGAAGAGAAATGCATTATTTAATGGAAGTAATGCTATGAACTATTAAATGGTTCATAAACTGTTCATAAAATGTGATTAATATAATTACTTAACGTTATTCCAGATCAGTTTAAAAGGAATGTGATTAAGATAGTTACTTAACGTTATTCCAGATCAGTTTAAAAGGAATGTGATTAAGATAGTTACTTAACGTTATTCCAGATCCGTTTAAAAGGAATGTGATTAAGATAACTATTCATAGTGTGTATAAAATTACGAAAATACTTTCAAATAAGAATAAGAATGTCTATTCAAGTAACATTGTTAGTAATATCATATATATGTATATATATGATTATGTGGCCGAACAGTTAAGTTTATCTAATTAGTATACATAACTATCCTTTATTTTACTTATATTTATCTGGATATAAAGCACGTTTTCCAAAACAGTAATTGGTATATAAGAGTGTCGTAACAAATTTATCAAGTGTGTAATTTTGTAAGGGAATTTTAATCACTAAATGACAGACGACTATATTCGTCTAATGTATATTCTCATAAAATAAGCGCCTCAGTGGCACAGCGGTATGTCTGCGGACTTACAACGCTAGAAACCAGGTTTCGATACCCGTGGTGGGCAGAGCACAGATAGTCCACTGTATAGCGTTGTGCTTAATTACAAACAATATCATAAAATTAGATGTAAGCAATCGCAAAAAATACTCAAACTGTCTTTTACAGATACACATAATGTAGCATTCTATTATCTGCTTAAATATGAGATTTGTTGAATCGGTTTTCATAGATAGTGAGGTAATTCCGTTATCCATTCTAACCTCAATTTAGTGTATTACAAAGTAATTGGTTTATTTATTCATCATCAATACGTTCTCAATCAATGTAAGTTAATTATATAGATCGGAAATTAAAAAACTAATTTTGTTAGGAAACTTAATAGAATGTGATAAACACGTGTAAAATAATAATAAAAAAACAACTAAAATCAATGATGAGTAAAATGTACTAGTTAGCTAGATACCCTCGCTATAAACAATATTTTCAGATGTAAGCCCAGTAATATCTCACGAGGTTTCACTAGTTTAAGAGAATTAGGCTAGTCCTAAATTCATAGAATAAGTTAACAATGCAGACAAGTGTAGAAAATTAATAATAACATGATTAAACATCATTTTAACATATAACCAGTAATGCCGATAAAAGTAAAGAAAAAATGTTTTCCATGAATTAACTAACACACAACCAATAGTTATTTGCTATGTATTCCATATAAACATAATATTAAGTTTGCTTTCTTAACCATGATCGATGGTGCTAATCGGAAAAAAATATATAAAAAAATAACTCATAAACACATTAACGAATCGGATTTTGAATTATTATTTATGAGAGTGAATATATTTTTACTTATATCAAATGAAGAAAATATTCTCACAGGAAAAGTACAAAAGTTCATATGTAATTCAATTACTTCGTTTATGCAAATTAGTTTTTCTTTAGGTGTACAAATTATATTTGGTGTATTTCTGATGTCATATTTTTTTGCTGTGCAGTCTTGTTTAACGTACGTGTTGTACTTGTTTCAATATATTATGCAGACAAGTATTACAAAAAAAACAACAACAAATAATTAAGGTTGGTATTTACAAGGCATGTTCATGGAACCCTATGTAATTTCCACCGAATGTTATTTTATAGATATGTTTAGCTTGACCAGTAATTTATTAGATAATCACTTTATGATTACTTTTCAGGAGTTTGCAGGGAATTCATTTTTATACTGTAAAATAACACACTGAATTAAGTACAAAACCCAGCCTCTTATGACATCACTATAAACTCTGAATATATTGTATTACTTCAAAAGGAGGTAACGATTTTAAGCAATATCAAACAAACAGTCCCATTTTGAATGTACAAAGTCATGATTTGACTTCCTGGAGACCAATAGGAGTTTTATAGAAGTTTGATAGTTATGATAAACTGCATATAATGGGTGATGTGGGCTATATTGATGGAACATGTTATTATGGACACGAGATACGAGGATATCGAGGTTCTGTCAATGTTAATAAAAGCTTTTGGGAATCTATTATGTACGGTAGTAGGTCATTCTGTTCTCTCAGTGCTGTACAGTTTTTAGATCATGACGAAATCAATTTGATTTGCAAAATGATTGGACTGCTATATGTACCTATAAACTAGATAATCATCCACAATTCTCAATATCAGAGAAGAACAATAGGAAAAATTCTACTCTGGGATTTAAACGGGCGAATGTGTGAGATTTTTGGATGAGGAAACTGCTTATAGATCTTTTCTTCTTGAACTTGAAAAGACTCACTTCGATGTCGTGGAATGGTAAATATACAGGATGTGATGAGAGATGGTTGTATACCTATATCAGATCATGGTAATTTTAAGATCTAAATTAAAAGCAATAAATGTGAGAGACTTGGTAAAAAAACAACAACATAAAATACAAATAATTCTTTAATTATAGCATTGGAAGGATATTCTAGTGAATATGTCTGCTGAGGTGTTCCGAATGAACTGCCAAATCATAACATGAACATGCGAACTTGTGTTTGTTAGCAAGGGGAGTATCACAGTCCGAGTAAAATGAAATAATGACAAAAATATAATTTAAGAATGAGGTTAAAGTGCCGATTGTGTGTTTGCGATGAGAACAGTAAGATAAATCAAAACTATAGAACTAGCCGGAATACACGGGTTTCTTGTGTTCGTGTGGAAACTAAAAGCCATAGGTTCTTTCTTATGACCAGATCTCTTCAACAGTTTAAAAATGAAGGCCTCGCCCCAGCTGTAACGAAACGCTGTTTCATTGAGTCATTGCTGGAGAAATGTGAATAACAATTTTGATTCACATCAAAGGTTCGACTGCCGTGAATTGCTAAATGAGTATCATGAGTTTAAGGTTTTGCCAGATGTCAGTTTGTAGAGGATAACGTTTCTTTATTAATTTCATATTTGTACTTAGCGTGTTCTTTGTTGATACTTGATTCTCTCATGATTTTAAATGTTTATGTTTAACCTCTTCCTTTATATGTTTATAAGATTTTTGAACGATTGCGTCTCTATGAATGATTGTTCCCCATGTATAGCAAATTTGTGTGGTTATATGTTACTTGTCAGGAATATGCATAACGTATCTGATAATAATGCTGATAACATTGTATCACTCATGAGAGTTGCATTTCATTAGACCTATAAAGAAAAAGACTTGAGTCTTCTGATGCTTGTTTCAACAATTCTATGCTTGACTTGGATTATCTATTTTCATAAACTTAGTGAAGCCTATATATATATATATATATAAATGACTGCATGAATTCTTGTTTTTAGTACCAGAAAATTTCGTTAGTGACCTAAAAACAAGTCCAGATACGTGGTCAGTCATTCTAATCAAATACAGCTGCGTGATCAAATGTTTCAAGTCTGACTTCTATGAGTGAGAGTGACTAAGAGGATTGTGGTTTTACGTCTAACTTTGAATGAGTTTATGCATGAACTATGTCGTCATATTTTCTAAACTTACTACACATTCATAGAGTTTCTTATTAAGTGCGAATCTGGGGTCAGTTGTTCCATAACAAGTTCCAAGTGTTTATAACGCATGCACAAGGAAATGTCTGTATGATCATTTGTTTCTTGCCAAATTTCAGTGTTTAGGAGGCTTAAAAAAAAAAGAGTACGTTTGTATGTTTTCTTGTTCCATTTCTACCTTTATATAATTTTAAAGGTATTAGTGGGTTATAACTACATCAGTATATGTTAAGATGTTTCATGGCTATTTAAATGCCCGTAATCGTGAAACCACAAGAAATTTGATGGAATTTAACTGAATAGTAACTTGTTTCGATATCGCTTCAAAAGCAAATAAATCATGTAAACATATAAATTTTGTACACATTAAATGTTATTCTAGGAATCTTTTCTTAAGCGTTGCCTAAGAGATTACATTAAGCATACTGTAGGTATCGACATGACACACTCGTTTCTTAACCAAAATAGTGCTCAACTTTTCCTTTTCACTTCTAATGAGAAACGTCCTTACATTTTAAGATAATACGTGAGATGTAATTCATTTCACTCCCTAACGTTGCACGAAACCAAAACTGGCATCCCTGGTTTGAGCAGAAATGGAAGTGCAAATTTGCACATCTAGATGCATAGCGGTATCTTCAACTATCTGTTGACAATGATAAACTTAAATATTTCACATTGTGCTTTGTTCGTTCATCATATCTAAAAACGTGAAAAACAAAATATCAGGAAGTCAAAAGCTTCACAGAAACCCCAGGATAGGGGTTAATTTCATCCATTGATTTGTCAGTTCTCTGCATAGTTGTATCTTCATATATATATATATAAATCTGAATGAACCGCGTACATATTCTTAGGCTACAGTGTAGTTTAGTAAAAACAGAACAGTACTCATTCCAGTAAGTTCTAAATCATAATACCCTACCAGAAGTGATTAATTTTTTCAAGCTAGAAATTCCTTGAGTTGTTCCAAGTTTGGTGCATCGTGCATCAACTGGTTGGGTTGCATTAACACATAAGGTATAGGCATCACACACTTTGACTATCACCTCGTTTGCATCTAAAAGAGTAAAAAAATAAGAAAATTCAGTATTCAATGATGTACTTATATAAACATATAATGTGTTAGACAGTATATTATAAATGCACATCTAAGTGTATAGTTGTATCTCTAAATATCTGTTCAAAACAGGAAACTTAAATATTTCATATTGTACTTTATTTGTTTATGGTATAAAAAACACGAAATCAATAAAAAACGATATATATATATATCCTGTATAATAGGAAAGTCATTTATATACATACAATGTCTAATAATTTAATGACTTTTATATACTGGACAAAATATATGAAGGATGTAGAATGTTTGTAACAAGCCTTATTTTCGAAAAAAAGTAAAATAGAACAAACATGCATGCCAGTCAAATAATAGTTTTCTATCAAAATGTATCTTTGGTACTAAACATGTTTGATATGTGTTCATGTGTATGTATGCCTTTGGCCGTTAAGGTGATAAAGATCAGATGGTGGGTGAATTCTTACGTTAACAGAGGTCTTAGAAGTCAAGTGTCATGATTGGATATATACGTAATTTCTTAGCTATATTAGCCTCACGCGAATCAATAGAGCTGATGGGAAACTTGAAAGTGGAGACGCTCCACACTCTGATACTACATAATATGGACTGTCACTGAGTGAAATTTTCAGTTTGCGGACAAAATACTAGAAAGCCACCTGATTCTCAGAAATCCCAAGATATGGGTTAATTTCGTCTATTATTTTGCCAGTTCTTTATACTGTGTGTTGCAACAGATCAAGACATAAAATTATCCATTATGATGCAATATGTGGTCCCCATTAATGAACAGTATAAAAAGCCTGTAAGTTGAAGGTTAAAGGTTGAACACTTTGTATGTTCTTAGGCATAAATATTAATAATAACAACTTGTACAAAAAAATTATATGTTTGAAGAACTGTTACTGTTTTAATCACAATATTTTCCTCTTAAATAAATCAAGAGATTTTCTAAAATCAGAGAAAAAAGCATACTATATACCTTTCTTTTGTTGTCAGTATTCTATCATCTAAGTAATTTCTCGAAAATAAGCTATGAATTGTTGAAAATCTTGGCTCCAACCATTTTGACATTTACAACAAATACTATGTGTATGTATTGTATCATTTGAAATTTCTAATTTGAAGACTTTATACAAATGTCTTTAATAGTAAACATTTGATGATAAAACAAAGTTTTAATTTACATGTAGCTCTTCCACTTTACTTTGTATCCTTCAAGTGGTACGTAATTTATTAAACTTGGTTTTACCTGAAGGTCAGACTTTGTAAACTTGCTATCAGACTAATTAAGTAATAGAATTGAAAGAGCCCACACGTTTTGTGTATGTGTTAATGACACTGGTGATTAAGTATATAGCAATCATTCGATGACAAATGTATAGCAGAAAAATCGGTAAAAACGTTATTTATTGAACTTTTAGCCTATATGCAAACAGTTTCAGTCTGCAAGAAGCAAACTCTAGACAAAGATTTGTAAAAATATCTACAAAATGGTAAGATTTTTTAAATATTAATGGTTAAGTATAACTATTTACGTAGATCCTTTAAACTTTAGCAAAACAAATTAGCTTATAAATTAAATTAACCTAAATATGAAATTGTGTATAGTGTATAGAGATTTAAATAAACATCCTTTATATATTTAACTGTATTAAATGTGTTTTACAAAATGGTGTTATTAACACAATTAATGTACTCCTGAAGAGTTTTTCTTACCTAACATATTGTTTTTATAAATATTGAATTGAAGAGTTAGTACAGTCAATTCTGTTTTTAAGTACACATTTAATGTACTGATTATACTTCGTGATTCAATATTAACTCGCATGACATACTTTTACATTTTCTGACGTTTTGCATATAAAACACGTACCATGAATTCATTTTTAAAATTAATATATCTCATAATATCTATTTACCCTGAAATTAAAGATATTACCTTTCCTAAAATATCAGTCATGCATCGTGTGCTTTATAAAATCTCAACATGCAACATGAGTAGTTATCATATTACCCTGGATGTGTTTATTCAGGCAGAGGACATAGAGAGGATAATATCATAATTCCAGTTTATCTCACTAGAGGGCTCGTTGCTAGGATTACGTTTCGAGAGAACCACCAAAGGGTGATATAGATCAACTTTATAGTAGCAACCAAAGTTTTAAAATTAATATTTTATCTAAATTTCATAACATTGTTTTTACTGAAAAGTTTCTATAACAATTACAATTTTGCTTTATAAGTAAAATATTAAACCCTTTTTATCATTATCATCAACTTTAGAGTTTTTGCTTGCATATTTGATTGAAATTAAAAGCATTTCATATTGACAGTTGGTGTTTGTATAGGCAGATAGTTACTGCACTACTGTAGGACTCCATACGGATTTTAACTTGTCTCAACATATATTTATAGTTTTTATTTATATATATTTACTTGTATTACATGTGTTTTGTAAAGGCATATGTTTTTTTATAGGCAGACAGTGTTGCTAAACTTCTGTAACATTACGTACAGATAACAATTTGTGTTTACAGTTTTTACGTGTGATTACACGATTGATATTTTAACGATTTAATACCTTTAGCGAGTGCCTGAAATTCCAATTAATGTTTTATCAAAACAAAACGTTTCGTTTATCATTTTCTCATGGTCAGTAGTTTTTCCACTGCATGACTAAAGTGTGTGCTACTTCTCTTTGACTCTACACTTTTATCACGCCAGCAAGAAAGTTTATAAAACTTGTTTTGTACTAGAGTGTCAGACTGGTTTTTGAATTTTGCGCAAAGCTACACATGGGGTATCTGTGCTAGCCATCCCTAATTTAGTAGTGAAAAACTAGAGGGAAAGCAGCTAGTCATCACCACCCACCGCCAACTCTTGAACTACTCATTTACGAACGAATAGTGGGATTGACTGCCATATTATAACGCCCCCACAGCTGAAAGGACGAGGATTCGCACCCGCGACCCTTAGGGTGCGAGTAGAGCGTCCTAACCATCTGGCCATGATATAACTCCTACAGTAATAAGAACTGTACCATAAGATTTTGTTGGACATATGACTTTATTCACTTACTTTTTTATCGAGGTATGGTAGAATATTCCATCTGTAATTAGTGTTATCAAGTGAAAGGATGTGTGTGGCCATAAAAAAATTAAATTAATTTTTAAAACAGTGGAAACATCTGAAATCATTGAACAAACTGCAATGTCGTATAATTTTGTGGTGTGGAGATCCTGGAGGGTGCACAACTTTTAACTAGTGGGTGCCATACTTAACACTGTCTTATCAAAACAAAGAATGAATAAGTGTGAGTCTAGTAATATTGAGATATATATTGTAGAAATTGCAAATATCTGACAACACCAAATGCAAGTTATAAAAAATAAGAGCAGAGCTTCAAATAACAATAGAAATTCAATGGTTCAGTCTAGCCAATAGTTCAACTCAGTGGTTTTGAAAGGTTGTACACACACAGAGTTAAAGTGTTTGTTGCTATACACTTTCACACCATTTTCTTCCCAAAAACAGTAAAATAAATTTATTATTATTATAATAAGAAGCTTAGAAATATGAATATTTTGCATAGTGTTACATAAACGTTTTAGTTTAGTCAAGCTACAAACAATTAGCTCAAATCAACAGACTCTGTGATATGCTACAACAGTAAAAATTGTGTACTTTATTTCTCGTCTGGGCTAAGATTTAAGTAAACATAAAAAGGTTTAGTCATATAATCTATTAGGCAAGCTATAAAAAAGTGATAATTCTTTCGAAAAATTATAATATATGATGGTGAGAGTTCCATACATTATATATAAAGCAATATTTTTTCTTTAGCCATATTTATAAATGATAAGACTTAACGTGAGCATGCTTACTTCAGCATATACCAAGAGCAAGTTAGTGTATGGAGAGTGAAATTCGACATATTTTCAATAAAGCCCAATGAATAGCCAATGGGGTTAGATATACAGCAAGTGAGATTTGATTAAGGTAGTTTAGGATCAAGCATCCTCACCCTATGAAATGGCAAGCCATACTACACAGTAAAGAAACAGAACTGATCTTATTAACTATCTAGATGCTGAATTATTGATTGCGCCACAAAACTGTAATATTTCGAAGTTAAGTCATCCCTATGCTCGAATGAAAATGACCAATCATGTGAGTAGTAAGAATCCCTTTCGGTAAATCCAACAATACATGTAAAGTAAATACCATTGCATTTAATCAGTTTGGTAGATGATCTTATCCTGACCAGTTTGAAATAATTGTTCTTATCTAGAACAAATGACACTCCACTGTCCAAAACAAGCGTATACATTATGCTTGTGGTACTCTGTAATAAAGATTGTGCTTTTTTGTATTTTATATTTTTCCAGTTGTCTCTTTCTTCATTCTCAGGTATTCTGAGAAACACAATGTCACCCTTTATAACTCATAAGTGGATCTCCTATTATTAGGTAGACTTATACCATTGCTCTAACAATAATCAGGTTACGTGAATATACCACCAGAGTTTATCATCCTGTAATCGATCAACTTAGAAACAATGGTGTCAAGGGCATCTCAGATAACACAGATTATTGGCTCTCAGTTCTTTATATAACAATTTTTTTGCTTCTCTTAAGCTATACCTCTTGTTATCAATATATAAAACAATCTCTCTGTTTGGTTGGTTGCCTGCTTGTTTATCTGCTATGTTCACTGTGCAGATAACACTCACATGAAGGTGCACAAAACGACAATTTTTCGTTGACTTACGCGTCTATCGTCTGCTTGCCAAACATATACATTAAACGAATAAATTGTATGCAGATTTAACATTTTTGGGTAAGTTTGAGTTCCCATTTAATTTAGAATATAGCATATTTAGTTATAGATAATTAACTATACATCTACTAATGCATCATATATTTAACCTCAAACAAAAAAGAAATGTATTCAGAATTAGAATGTCCTGTATGACAAGGCAAACAGTAAGCCTGGCCTATAAAATAAAATTATGCCATCTGCCATAAAATAGAATATGTGAAAAGAGTAAGACTTGAATTACAATACTTATTCTGTACAATGAGATTAAACGTCATGTCAGCAAATGTATTTTATTCTACTTTTTTTTTCACTGGGTGTTTCGATACCTGGAAGTGTTTATTTTTTCTTTTGATACATTATAAAGTACAATATTGCAGTTTGTTTGTCGTATTTGTCATATATCAATGTCATAATGTGAACACCGTATCACGTAAATAAAAATATATAAACTTTATATTAAAGCAAATTCGAAATAATATTAAACATATATTTACGTTTGAAATTTTAATACTTGAGGAAGGGTGACGGGGAATGGGGGGAATCGAGCTAGGTTTACCCTGTTCGCCAGAACGGGTACTCATATGTGTATAAGATAATCTAAATATTCTCCATAAGGGCCTATTTATCCTTGCCAGTGAAGGAAAAACAAAAATATTGTTCGTAAGGAAGCCCTGGTTTAAAACTGGTTCGTAGTTTATTTTCAAAAATCAAACCTAAGGCTTTTTTTTTCCATAAATTTTTACCTACAGAAATATGGAACAGGAAAACAGAGAGAGTAGGTTTTATTTTCGAAAACCCGGGCAACGCTGTGTAATCGCTACCAGTGTATGATAAAATAAGTAGAGCGCTAAATAGACAGTACGAAAATTGAGCATCACATATTCGATATAGATCCTTCACGTTAATGGGGAGGAGGTCTGTGTTAAAAATGGTGCTTTCCGGTTTGAATAAAAGCTTTCAGTTATTATTATTTGCAAACATATATGCACAAAACCGTTTGTTCTTAATTTATTATATCCAATGTAGATGCAGACTAGTATATCAATAAGAATTGGGTCTGTACACAATATAAAATCACTTTTATGTAAATTATCTATCCCTTGATCTTGTTATATCGAGATATAACAGTTTCTCTAAGAAACATTCTTCACATCAAACTCATACACGTATATGATGTACTAGAACTTTGTTGGTATGTAAAAGCACACTGTGTCATGTCTAAGAAAAAAACTGTGCCCCATACAAACGTATATACATGTGTTATGTTGCATCAGATATGACCAGCAATTTTAGATTTAAATAGTTTTATTTTTTTTAGAACGATATTGAGCTATATACCTTTGTCTCTAATATTGAGCTATTGACTAGAGGAAAGGCAACCATATTAGTACCCTACCATATTTGAAATTATAATATTTGATGAGGGATGACGAGGGATTGGGGGGAATATAGCTAGGTGTATCCTGTTCGCCAGAACGGATACTCATACTCATAAGATAATCAAAATATTCTCCAAAAGGGCTTATTTATCCTTGCCAGAGAAAGAAAAAAAACATCATTCATAAGGAAGCCCTGATATAAAACAGATTCGTAGTTTATTTTCAAAAATCAAACCTAAGGTTGTTTTTTCATAAACAAATTATGCCAAATATGGCAAAAATACTCTTGTGCAATCTATCTTTTATAATTTATTTTACCAATGTTTTCTCGGAGTTGACCAAAATTAGTTTTTTTCAGCTAATAAAGTATTTGATAGATGAATAATACTGTAGTATTCTAGTGTTATATGTCAGCTTTTGAGAAGCATATAATAGTGTACCTATGTATCTATCTACTACCTAGGAAGTTCGCGTAATTTTTACGAGACACTGCTAAAACCCTATTTAATCGTGGGATTTTTGGCAGCAGCATTTAAAGTATCAAAGACCTTTGAAAAAGGAATAAGGTTAGCGATTTTTAAACTGATATACATGTATAACATATACACATGTATTTTTATATACACACGAACGTCCTTTGTTTAGAGTTTTTTTGTGTGAACTATGGTATTTGAAAACAATTCATGCTTTTAGTGAGAAAATCTTTATATTTGGAGAAGATAAAAGCTGCTCTCAGACAGACTTCTTCAGTGTATGTACTCCAGTTTTCTTTATAGGCGATTTATAGTTTAATATGTGTTGAATTACACATAATATTTAGATTTGAAATATGCTCTAACAATTTTCATTACACTATTTAGATAATAAATTTCAAATTATTGGTAGACAAGAACATATATTTTTCAGCATTTCAAGATCGTTTCACCATTACTACATAATGTGTCATTGTTCTAGCCACCAATATGAACAAGGAGTACTAATGAAAACTTTCATAAACAAAAACTTACTGCATGGCAGTACGACATTCCTGGCAATTCCAGTGAAAACGGAGTTGGTTAATTCAATAGCATAACTTGTTAAATTTTTCATTGTCGTATAAAAGAACTGATAAGTTAAAGGATATCTATCTATACTGGTCCACCATCCCTCACTTGCATCTAGAGTGAAATCCATTATCAAGGCAGAGTCTATAGATGGCCTTACCTAAACAATAAAAAAAAAGAACACACTTTCCAGATAAACATACAAATAAAGAGTTAAACAATAATTTATAATTTATTTTATCAATGTTTTCTTGGAGATGACCACAATTAGTTTTTTCAGCTAATAAAGTATTAAATAGTTGAATAATATCTACATTTATTATGTTTGTAATATAGTCCCCGCAGTGTTAATGAAATGACTAAGTTAACAGTTTAACTGTTGTTTACAACTCAATTCTTATATTAATAAAAATTTAATGAATTTTTCAAATACGATTGGTCATTTACTATGTGTTGAAACATATGATTTTATTGTGAGCTTGCGGTCTTCAAATCGACGACTTTAATGTATAATTATACAATGAGCAATACTCATTCATTGTATAATTTAGAGACTGGTACCAAACAAGAATAAAAATAAACCATATTTATTGATAAAGTCACAGAATTGAAGCTCAAAATAACCAATTTAAAACTTTCCAAGATAAGTACTTCAATAAATTTATTGAAAATGTATACCATTTTTCTTTATAATATTGCTTCAAGTATTGTTTGACAACATTAGTTTCAAGTTCAAATAATTAAATCGCAATATTACAAATACAAATTATGAAGATTGATCTTTAGAGAATTCAGAAACGTTCCTATCATAATAATATACATATATATATATATATATATATGCAAAAATGTTTTCGAAATTAAATTATAGACGAGAGATGGTTACATTATTAATTTCCAATTGTTTCTTGACAAATGATGAATTTCCTTATGGTGTCTAAGTTGGTGTTTGTTGACATTGCCTTTGTTTAATACCTACAAGTGGCAATAATTTCCTGGCTTTTTCTCCTTTTGGTGTTTTCTTCTTTTATCATATATTTTTTCCATTGTTAAAGTCTAAATTATAGTCTTTGTTTTGGATGTGGTGAGCAAGTGCTGGTGTTTGAATTTTAATATATCTTTCGTATTCTTCAAATCTAACATCAGTTGGTCGTTAAGTCTCTCCAAACTATTGCTCACAGTATTTATGCAGCGCATTTTAAACATTATTCTTCATAAAAAAATTCAAGAATATGTTACTTTATTTTTTCTTGAATTCCGGGCAAAGCTACTAGAGGGTTATCTGCACTTGTTGTACCTAATTTAGAAGTGACAGACTAGAAGGAAGGCAACTAATTAGCACCAGCTACCGCCAACTCTTGGGCTTCTCTTAAAGAACGAAAGTTGGATTGATCGTAACATTATAACGCCTCTACGGCTGAAAGGGCGAACTGCTCGGTGACGGAGCTCGAACCCGTGACCTGCAGATTACGAGTCGAGCGCCCTTATCAGATCTTAGGAATAGGTGATTTGACGTTAGTAAACACACCTCAAAATGTAAGGTTATTTTTAAAGGCTACGTTGATGTTAACTTTTTTATTATTGTCCTGAGTTTATCTTCAAGAATGAAAAGACTAGAATCATTATTTATACTGTCTTATTGGTCATATGATAGTTTACGTGATGTAAAGTTCTGTTATTACGTGGCTTACGTTATATTGTCTTTTTGATGATTTCGACTCTGATATTTACAGCCCCCCAGTGGCACAGCGGTATGTCTGCGGACTTACAACGCTAAAAACCGGGTTTCGATACCCGTGGTATGCAGAACACAGATACCCCATTGTGTAACTTCGTGCTTAACTTCAAACAAACAACTATATTATGTTACTATATTTATTGGATACGTATCTGAAATTCAATAACTTGCTAAATATGTCAAACAATGCCAACTTAATACAAAAGAACCCTAGTGCTTTCAAAAGGTGGATTTTTAGAAAGTGTTCAGGTTATGTATAAGGTATCATATATTTTGTTAAATTGATTTCTTGAACATACATATTTCTCTAACGTCATTAAAATATATCAAATCACTGACGTCAACATGATATCTTCTACAGTTGTTAACTTCTTGCATGTTACATTTCATTTCAATAGGCCGAGAAAAGTAACAGAAGCTAAAAATTTTGCAACCAGATAAACTTATAAATAACAATTATATTGTTGTTATTATGAATTTCATTTACTGCTTTGGCAGTATAATGTTCCATCTTATTTTAGGAAATGCACGGTAGATATAAGCTATTATAAAAGAAGGTCAACGTTATACCACATGAATTAAAAAACAGGTTATGTGAACTTGAATGTTTTAGTTCATGTAGTACGAAGTTGTACTTTTTATCGTTTTATATTGTAGCACGAATTATCTTATTATCTAATAGTTTAACTATTGTGTATACATTAAAACTAATAGTTTAATTTTTACAAAGTGCTTTACTAATGAATATTAGAAGAAATATGTTTAGTTTCATTATATTGTAGCACGAAGTATCTTATTGTGTATACATTAAAACTAATAGTTTAATTTTTACAAAGTGCTTTACTAATGAATATTAGAAGAAAGATGTTTAATTTCATTATATTGTAGCACGAATTATCTTGTTGTATATAAATTTAAACTAATAGTTTAATTTTTACAAAGTGCTTTACTAATGTATATTAGAATAAATATGTTTAGTTTCATTATATTGTAGCACGAATTATCTTATTGTGTATACATTAAAACTGATAGTTTAATTTTTACAAAGTGCTTTACTAATGTATATTAGAATAAATATGTTTAGTTTCATTATATTGTAGCACGAATTATCTTATTGTGTATACATTTAAACTAATAGTTTAACTTTTACAAAGTGCTTTACTAATGAATATTAGAAGAAATATGTTTAGTTTCATTATATTGTAGCACGAATTATCTTATTGTATATACATTTAAACTAATAGTTTAATTTTTACAAAGTGCTTTACTAATGTATATTAGAAGAAATATGTTAGTTTCATTATATTGTAGCACGAACTATCTTATTGTATATACATTTAAACTAATAGTTTAATTTTTACAAAGTGCTTTACTAATGTATATTAGAAGAAATATGTTCAGTTTCATTATATTGTAGCACGAACTATCTTATTGTGTATACATTTAAACTAATCCCACTTTACATTTCTTTATTTAGCACTACTCCACTGATATCACGGTAAGTTTCTGATAGGGAAAGAGCATGTCCTTGTGATTAACTGGGGATTCTAAGGCCGTGGAGCTATCAAAAATGCTGAGCATTTTCAGCTGTGGATGCATATTTAGAGTGACAGTCCATTCCGGTAATTGGTTAAATGAAACCGCTTCAGGCAACAGGTGCTGCCAATTGTTTGCCTTGTCTCTGGTACGCAACTCCAAATTTGGAACGGCTATGTCTAAATCAGGGGCGTCGTTCAGACGGAAAAATAAAAATAAACAGAATTGTAATAAACTGTAAGAACTTATTTTTAAGATGTGATTTATAATACTTGTGCTATAAAATTTTGCAGAATAAACTGTGATATTTGAGATACAGTTTGACTAATAAATCAGTTAATAATTATATCTATTTTTACCAACCTTCAACGTGCCACCAATTGGAGCTGTTGCTGTGGTGAATTTCAGTATTGGTAAATTGTCTGAAAGTTTATGATCAAGTGAATTGAAAAGTATATAATACGATTTTCTGGCTGACATTTTGTAAGTAGGGATGATAAAATATTTCGTTTGTCCATTCCGAGAACGATGTAGAGACAATACATTTTCAATGCAGTCAAAACCTAAAAATAAAAAAAGTCTGAATCAGTACAGGTTGCACTGTTAAATACCATTTTATTATAAAGATTATGCATTATATGTCTATGGGTGTTGGCATCCATAGTATAAAGCTGGGGGCTCAATTAAAATAATATTTGTTTTATTTTTTATGGTAACTGGGAAATGTCCGTCTGTGTCAATGAGCTATTTTGTTTTAGGATTTCATCCGAGAAGAGAGATAAACATTTTGATTTAGGGCACATTTCTCATTTTTATTCACTTTTAGGGTGCATCACCCACAGTTGGCTGCCTCGATTACCGTGAGTTTTGTGTGGTAACTGAAAGTTGTCTGACGTTTTACATTAGCTATTTTGGTTTTTAAGGTTTTTGTTAAGGTTTTGCCTGAGAAAGGGGATAACAAAGATCCAGAAATATGACACATTTCCACTTTTTTTATAATTTTGGCTTTGAACTTAAAAACACAAGTATTTAATTGGTTGAATGTGCCAAAAACCAAAATATGCAATTAGCATTTAATTATTCCATTAGGGATTTAAGAAAGAAGAAAGAAAACATTATCTAACATTGTCCTTTATATAATTTTTGCTTCCTCAATGGGTACCCTCATCTAGTGATTTCTAAAGTGCTTAGATGAATGTGTGGTCATAAAATAAAAGATAAGAATATATCAGAAAAATTCAAAATTATCTTAAAGTATTTTTCAAATACTCATTTAAGAAAAAGCAAGCTTAGGAAAGTTTATATTGCCTAGGTACCTATAGGCAATTTCATCAGCATTCATATACCTGAAACTGCCATCTAAAATATTATACAATGGTATTGTAAGTGTAAGATTTATGGATTTATTCAGTGTTTATACTTTTGGATAATAATGAACATATTATTCCACGAATTGCAATTATTTACGGTGAAAATACAATCCAAATGCAGATTATCTTGGATTTGTTTGTTTCTTTGGTTGTGATTAAGCATAAAGCTACACAATGGGCTATCTGTGATCTGTCTACCACGGGTATCGAAACCCAGTATCTGTGCCACTGGAGGGAAATTATCTTGGAATACCTCATTATTATTTTTATTTCTGGCAAAAATAGTGTTAGATAGTTAGTTTGCAAGCACCTCCAGTCAAAATAACTTGGAAACTGTTGATATTGAAAGGTATGAAAAATGTTACATTTCATTAAATTTACTAAACATCTCTAATTATCCAGCTTTTAAGAAATTAATCATACATATTTTGGCGAGCAAAATATC